TTTTTAAAAATAGATTAACACCTAAAAAATACCTTTATTAAATATTTTTCAATTTGAGATGCTTCAATCATCTAAGAGAAATGTATACATGCGTCAGCCACATGCAACTTTTTTTAACATGTCATAAATATCATTATTTCTTCCCCATAAAAATTTATCACAATTAACACTAAAAGAACATTTTTTGGTATTTGTAAAATTAAAAAGTTAACCCAGATACTAGAATAATATGATAGGGCAAAAAAATTCCAGAAGGTTTCATACTTCTGAACTCTGATCAATAACACTGCAGTACAATCACCACTTTACCCTAGTTTTTCAGAACCCTGGAAGACCATCTCCATTTATTTGTCTTAAAGACTATCACAACATTCTCAAAATAAAATTAATCTTATAATGTTTGACAAGGAAAAGGAAGTAAGGCAGAATCATAAACCAAACAATTAGGCAAAATCCCAAAAAAGTTAGGAATCAGATCATCTAAATGCTTTGATTTGCATCTGTATTTGCATGTGGTTAAAATTAACAATGAAATCACAATCTATATTTCTACTCATTTTATTTTATTTTATTTTTTAAAGATTTTATTTATTTGACAGAAAGAGACACAGCGAGAGCAGGGACACAAGCAGAGGGAGTGGGAGAGGGAGAAGCAGGCTCCCCGCGGAGCAGGGATCCTGATGCGGGGCTTGATCCCAGGATGCTGGGATCATGACCTGAGCCGAAGGCAGAGGCTTAACAACTAAGCCACCCAGGTGTCCCAATATTTCTACTCATTTTAAACTAATTTCACAACAAAAAAGCCCTCTAAAAATCTCACCATTAAAGATTAAAAACCCTCTCTTTTATATAATTCTTGCGCTAAATTTTTGAAATCTATAAGTAAAACTTAAAAACTACATATCAAATCTATGAGGTGATCAAAATGGAAACCTCACACTTTTAAATCTTCCACTAAAAAAAGAATTAGTAGGCACAAATTAACTAAATGAGCACTTAATTCAGGAAGAAAGATAATCAAATTCCCCCCACCCAGGAAATTTGAGAAAATTAATTAGGAAAAAGAAAAACCAATAAACAGAAAACAAAAATAAAGCAAGAGCTGATTTTCAAGAAGGCTAAAATAACAGAAAAACCTACAATGTCTAGATAAGGGGGGGAGGGAAGAAATTTTTAAAAATAAACTCTACAATTTAGAATGTTTATAAACATAAATAATGTGTTAGCATGGGATTAAAAAAACTCAAGGTAAGAAAATGGAATTCAAAATCAGATATACTGATGGGAAAATAGATATAGATACACAAATACAGGAATTTAGTTTATGTTACAGGTGACATTTTTTTGTTTTTAAAGTAATCTCCACAACCAACATGAGGTTCAAACCCCCAACCAGGAGACCTAGGGTTGCATGCTCTACCCACTGAGCCAGCCAGGCGCCCTTACATGTGACATTTTATATCAGTGGAGATAATTAATATACTTTTACAAAAAAATAAGAAGTCCTACTTCACACCACATATGATAACATTAATTCCAGGAAGATTAAAAATATTTAAAAGCAGAAATAAGGACATGAAAAAAAAGACATGAAAGAAGCCATAAAGGAAAATTCCCTTACATATATTATGTCAAAATGTTTAATTTCTATATGGTAAAAGACAATACACACAGATGAAAGACATATGACAGATGTTGGGAAAATAATTATAACATATTTAAAATACAAGGGACTATTATCTACAAATACTGAATACAAATCCAAAATATATAAACAATTCAATAGAAAAACAGGCAACATCTACAAACAATTCATAAAATAAACATATGGCTAATAAACATATATAAAGAGATGTTCTATTTTACTCTCAAGTAAATAAAGGCTAATGAAGGGATACGCTTTTTTGGCCTATTATGTTATGGGGGGGAGGGAAGAAGTTGCTAATCCCAGTGTTAGTAAGAGTGACAGAAAAATGAGCACTCTCATAGACTACTGGTGTATATATATGCTATATAAATTGTATATAAATTGGCATAGCCTTCTAAGGAAGTGTCTCAAGAATTTTAAAGTTCCACACACAGCTTGAGCAACAAAATAAGTAAGAGTAAAGGATTAAAACCCACAGAAGACACAGCCATGAGTTTATAATGACATAAATAGATACTCGAATAAGTGAGGGAACAAGAAAGCTCTTCTTTATGAAGGCTAATTAATACACGTAATAACTGTTTCAGGGAAGAATCATCAATTAATGCTTACAATAAGTGCGTAGAAATAAGATGAGAAACAGCGTATTTATTTACATAGTCTCAAAGTACTTCTCCACAAGTCTTACTAATTATAATGGGGAAAAGAGTAACATTAATAGTAGAAAAGCCCCTTAATAAAGTGATCCAAGTTAACATCACCAGCCATGAGACATGACGACAACATGGGTCTCTTTAATACACTGAGAAGGGCACAACATCAATTATAATTTATTCTTGTTCCAAATGCATAACCTAAGTTTAATCATGAGAAAATGTCAGGCATACTCCAATCTGGGGACATCCTACAAAATAACTGGCCAGCAGTGTCTAAGGCTTGAAAGCAAAGACTGAGGAACTGATCCTGATTAAGGGTGTCTGAGGCGATGGGGCAACTAAATGCCATGTGTGATCCTGGACTGAATCCTGGTCCCAGAAAAAGGACATTAGTAAGACAACTAACAAAATCTGAATAAGGTCTATAAATAGTATGGCATCAATGTAATTTCACGGATTTGATCATTGTACTGTCATTATTTTAGATTTAACATTTGAAGAAGTCAGAGGAAAGTTATACAAGAATTTCTTGTACCAGTTTTGTACCTTCTCTGTAAGCCGGAAATTATTCCAAAATGAAAGGTTAAAAGATAAAAAATATTTTTTAAGGCTCAGAAACTTTAGCCCAGAAGTTCAAGTTCTAGGAATCTACACCACAAGAAATAGCTGCATGTACAAATATGTCTGTTGAAGCATTGCTTATACAAGCTATAAACTGGAAATTTATACTGACCCCAACATAATCTGTCTTTCCAACAGCTAAGAAAGAACATTTATTTTTTAAACTTTTTCCCCATTTAAACTTTTTCTCCATTTGCTAAATTCTGGGTTGTGACTTGCAAAGCAAAGCATTCAAAAAGTTTATCCTTTTTCTACTGCTGGTGCTTATCTCAACTATTCTGCACAGATATGCTAATAATCTGTTTTGCTTTATCTCATACAGCTGTAGCTGCAAACTTGCACATAGTTCTTAAACTAATCCTGTTTTTCTTTGACATAGGACATTAACTCTTAAATATTTTCAAAATATTTATTTTTATTAAAACAACCAAAACATTGATACAAGAAAAAGCTATCAAGACACCGACAGATCATTTAAAAGCCAGTTCTATTTGCTATCTCTTCGATTCAGTTAGCAAATAATTCAGTTAAGGTGGAACTGACTTAGTTTTTACTTACTCTGCTACAGTCACCAGCTGGTCTGTTCCTGATCTTTTAAAGGCTCTTTTTGCCCCCACCATTACCCCTGCTTAATCTTATGACATGCTTAGTAGAATACCTTAATGATGTATAACTATTTATTGACCTAAGACTTCTCTTTAGAAAAAAGCATGGTGTGGTCCCTATCTTTTAGAGTGAAATTTCTTATTTAAGCTAGAAAAGATTTTAAAATAGCAGCAAAGAGAAGTTACTAGGTAAAATTTCACTTCATATTCCTTAATGAAAAGATTCATTTTAAGAAGTACTAGAAAGTTCACACAAACATCGACTATAACATATAATAACTCTGTACTAACAGAATTCCGCTCAGCTACTTTACCTGCTTTCTTGAGAATGATATGGGTGGTGCCGGAGCACGTCCTGCAAGAAACGTTCCATCAAGCTAGTAGTGCCCATCCGCTGTCGATTCTGTGTGGTCAAGTATCTGTGCTGAGCACTGGACATATGCTATCAAAAAGAAAAAACACACTAAACAGTTTTAAACAGGTAATACTCATTAGTAGTGAGAGTTTCACAAATGGATTCATTTAGATATTCCTGGCAGAAGTATAAATTGATATAGTCTTTCTGCAAAGCAATTCTAAAATGTATATCTAAAAACCATAGAAGTATCTTTCCCTTGGATATAGTAATTACATTTCTCTAAATCTCTCCCTAAGGAAATCATCCTAAATGTGGATGCTTTATGCAAAAAAATGATGCTTATCACAGCATAACAACAAAAAACTGGAAATCTCCAAAGTGTCTAACAGTAAAATCTATAATATGACCTAAGATGTAATAACGAAACTATCTAAAATAATATGAAAAATTTTACATAACATAATGTTAGATAGTAAGAGAAAAATGGGGGATGCAAAAATCACATGTATGCTTTTACCTAAAACTGTGGTTTTAAAACATACAAACAAAAATAAAATAAAATAAAATGAAATGTACAGACAAATCAATGGAAGAAAATACACCAAAATCTTAAAAGCATTTACATCTGTGAGGTACATTTAAAAGTAATTTTAATTTTTTTCTTATAAATTCTTATAAATTCTTATATTTGTACCGAGCAAATATTTTTATAATAAAAATCTGTTCAAAGAGAGAAGAGGGCTGGATCACTGTATTTGCAAAAGTTGAAGATTAATACACAAAAAGTCTATCATTTCTCTTCAGAGATTACAAATCCTCACTTAAACAGAATTCTGGAGTAAATACACAGAATTTTTCTGTTTTGTAATTCTCTCCACAGAAACAGTTTGTGTTCACAAGTATTATTTAGTGACCTATCAAAAGGGATGGGAAAGAAGTCTAACATCTACTGAGCACCTATAACATATCAAACACAGTGCTATTCCATCCATTCACGCAGTAATTTCATCGAATTTTCACTGAGTATAACTCTTGTCCCCATTTTGATATAAAGAAATGAAAGCACAAAGAATTGGAGTAAACTGCCTCAAGCTGGGTATCTAGCCAGTAACAATTAAGCCAGGGTTTCGATCTGCATCTACCTCTAAGCTTATCTTCCTTCCCTATATCACGCTACTGCTAATGCCGTATTTCCAACACGAGTTCCTGACGATTTAGTAACATGTTTTCATTTAACAATACCCGGGGAAAGTCATACTTTAAATACCATAGTAAAGATGCCAAAAGAACTTAAACCAGGCTGCCAGCTCCTGACCGCTATTACAACTCCTGGAATTCTCTCCTTCCATGCTGACTTCAGGGGTCTACTCTGATGCTGCCTTAGCCCCAGTAACAGTCTGAATCATGACAGTCTCAAGATCCTCTGGCCTCAAAGCTCCCCACTGTCCAGTACCCTAGCCCACCTGTTTCATGAAGGGAACAAAGGTACAAGGAAACAAATAAAGGTTCAATTAAAATCCAACCTCTCTCTCTGCCTCAGTAAAAATTTTAAAAAGGCAACATGAATGGAGAATTTACACTGACACAAACCACAGAAAACACCACACTATATAGGCCAGAAGGTGTCAGTTTCTTTAAATTTCCTTAATTGACATTTACATAAAGGTAAGTGCAAAATCATATGTATAGCTCAATAAATTATCACAAAATAAACACATCCATAACCATCTATCCATGAAAAACTAATGAGCACTCAGAACCCTTCTAGTGTCCCAGACCAATCAAATATTCCTTTCCTCTTCCCCCAAATTAACTATAATCTAAATTTTAATATAGATTAGGTTTGAAAGTTTCTAAATTTAAGGGTAGTCATACAATGTATATGCTCTTTTACATTCATCTTCTTTCACTCCACATCTGTAATACTCACCCATATTAGCTGTAGTCTGTTCGCTTTAATTTCTGTATAGTATCCCATCGTATGAATATACCATATATTATTTATTCATTCCATTCTTGATGGACATTTGTGTCATTCGCAGCTCATGGCTGTTATAAATTATGCTGCAAAAAACTTTCTTCTATGTGACTTCTGGTGCCCACGTGCATACATTTTTGTTGAGTGTATTACTAAGGGTGGAACTTCTGGGTCATAAGGTTTGCATATGCTCAGCTTTAGTACCCTCTGTTGACTAGTCTTCCAAAGTTGCTGTATCAATTTGTACCCTCCCCAGCAATGTATCATAGTTCCCATTCCTCTCTCTCCTCGTCAACACTTGCCATTGTCAGTCTCTTTAATTTTAGCTACTGAAGAGGGGGGTTCATGTTATATCACTGTTGCTTTAATTTGCAATTTTTGTGATAGCTTTTCATTTTCCTGGCCACCTGGATATCTTCTTTTACGGTGTGTCCAAGTCTCTTCCTGTCTTTCAAGTGCATGTTTTTTTTTTTTTTTAACGAACTACAGAGATTATTTATTCTGAACATGAGCTCTTCTTTCAATTATGTTTCAAGTATCATTCTCTGTGGCTTACCTTTTCACTTTCTTTTTTTTGGGGGGGGTGTTCATAAAGTTTATTTGTATGTGTGTGTGTGTGTTTTTTCCAGGAATAGTTACAAGGCACTTTTCTACTTTCTTAATCATCTCTCATTGCTTCCTAACTTAACTGCAGTCCAATTTACCAATTTTTTTTGTTGGTGCTTTCTGTTACCAGTTTAGGAAATCTCTCCCTACCTCAAATCACGGAGATTTTCTACTGATTTCTAGAAGCTTGATTGTTTTACCTACAATATTTACATCTACCATCTACCTGGAACTGACTTTTGTATCCAGGATGATTTAGTAATAGAGTTTCATTTCTTTTTCTCCATATGGATAGCCAATTGACCCAGTACCATTTACTGAAGAAAGTCCTGTCCTCACCATTCTTTAGTGCCACATTTGTCACAAATCAAATATCCACATGTCTGTTTCTGAAGTTTCTGGTTTATTTCCATAATCTTTCTAATTTTGCACCATTGTCTTAAAGACTGTAGTTTAGTAATAAATTTGGATAGCTATTACTTCTGACTTTGTTCTTCTTCTTCAAGATTATCCTGGTTCTTCTTAGCCTTTTGCATGTACATACGTATTTTTAGAATAGGCTTAATTTTCATTAAACTTAATTTTTCTGGAATTTTGTTTGGAATTTCATTGAATCAATATATATGTTTGGGGAGAAATGACATGTTTATAATACTGATTTTCTCAATCCATGAACATGGTATATCACACCAATTATTTAATTTTTCTTAAATTTCTCTCGATGTTTATACTTTTCTATATAAAAACCTTATACATATTTTGTTATATTTATTCCTGAAGAGTTGATGTTCTTTGATGCTGTTGTAAGCATTTTTTTAAACCTCATTTTCTGTGTGTCGTTGGATATAAAAATACAATTTCTTTTTTTTTTTTTTAAGGTTTTATTTATTTATTTGAGAGAGAGAATGAGAGAGAGAGAGCATGAGAGGGGGGAGGGTCAGAGGGAGAAGCAGACTCCCTGCCGAGCAGGGAGCCCAATGTGGACTAGATCCTGGGATTCCAGGATCACGACCTGAGCCGAAGGCAGTCGCTTAACCAACTGAGCCACCCAGGCACCCTAAAAATACAATTTCTTTTTATGTTGGCCCAAGAAACTTTTTAAACTCACCAAAAAAAATTTAAAAATAAAAAAACAAAAAATAAACTCACTTATCAATTCTAACAGTTTACCTAGATATCTTTAGGATTTTCTATGTCCACAATCACAGTGTGTACAAATAATGTTTTGTTTCTTTTTATCTAATCTTTGTCATTTTAATTTTTCTTTCCTTATTTCCCTGGCTAAATCTCCAATAAAATATTAAATATAGTTTAATTCCTAGCACCAAGTCTATTTTCACTTAATATTCTACTGGTATATTTGGATTTAATCTTTGTTTTTATTTTTAAATCTGTGTTTTATTATTCTTGCCTGTCCGATGCCCCTATTTCTCCTCTTTTTTGCCTTCTTGTGGATTGCTTTTTATTATTCCAAGTTTCCCCTTTCTGTTAACTTGGCAGTTAGTTATAGGCTAGGCTCTTTTTCTAGTCTATTAGTGGTAACAGATTATAACAAGCAGCCCTGACCTACCAAGATCTAAAATTACTTGTTACTTCTACTCTCTTCTTGAGCAAGGGCTTAACTTGATTTACTCTCTTTCCAGTTTCTCTGCCACTGTTGTGACTCCCTCCTACAAGATACTATTCATTTAGATTGCCTACCACTTTTCCATTGATCTTCATGCCTTCCCATCTCTCTGGGCTTCCAACTGGAATCATCTTCCTTCTATCTGAAGAACTCTTTTTAGGATTTCCTTCAGTAAGGGTCTGCTGCCGACAAATTCCCTTAATTTTTGTTTTCTGAAAATATTTCTATTTCACCTTTTTTTTTCAAGGATGTATTTCTTAAGCATAGAATTATAAGTTGGTAGTTGTATTCTGTCTTTTGGCTTCCATTGTTTCTGCTGAATATTCACCTAGATCTAGGCCCTGCATTTCTCTACTGCCTTAAAAGTTCTCCAAAGCCATGAAACTTATCCATTTCTTTATTTACTTAAGGCTTTATACTTAGCACAAATTATTCTGTCAACGGTCTTTTTTTAGGGGCGCCTGGGTGGCTCAGTCGTTAAGTGTGTGCCTTCAGCTCAGGTCATGATCCCAGGACCCTGGGATCGAGCCCCGCATCAAGCTCCCTGCTCTGTGGGAAGCCTGCTTCTCCCTCTCTCACTCCCCCTGCTTGTGTTCTCTCTCTCACTGTGTCTCTCTCTGTCAAATAAATAAATAAAATCTTTAAAAAAAAAAACAGTCTTTTTTAATGTCTGTTTAACGCATGAGTATCCAAATGTCTAAAAATTATTTTAAACCTTAAGAAAAATTTAGACTGAATGCTTACTGAATAGAGCTTGTAGTTAAAGATTTAGTATGTTTTATTAACATCAAAAGTTCAGCAAATAATCTTCCAGTCAAGTGATGCTGTAATTTATCAATCGTGATAGAAACACTAAAGAGAGCTTTGAGATTTATTACCTGCTGCCTCATGTTTATAACCAGCATTAGAAAGTATTTTTTTTGTAAAAAGGCAGAGATGTAGAAATCACAACAATAAAAACTTTTCCTTAGTATGAATTTAAATGACTGCTGACAAACAAATACCACTAAATAGCTGAATTTTTATGTATTACAACTGGTCTTAGATATCACTTATGATAAAACAGTTTAGCACTAACAGGACTAGAGCTTCATTATATTACTACTTCACCTATGACACAATTCTCAGCTTAGACCCTGAAGGAAACCTTGAGACTTTTCCAAGTTAACAATCCCGGTCAGAAGACTACAGCTACTATTACCATGATTACTTATTTGAAAATGTCTATATACAATGCTTCACAAACTCTTCCAACAAAAAGGAGCACTACTCAATTCATTCTATGAAGCTCAATACCAAAACCAAAGACATCACAAGAAAAGAAAGATACAAACAATATCCCTTATGAATACAGATGTAAAAATCCTCCACAAAATGCTGGCAAACCAAATCCAGCAACATACAGAAGGATTAAACACCATGACCAAGTGGGATTTAGCCCAGGGATGCAAAATTGGTTTAAGAGCTAAAACTCAAATCAATATAATTGCTACAGACTGAATTGTGCCCCCCCCCACCCCATTCATACGTTGAAGTTCTAACTCCCAATGTGACTGTCTTTGGAGACAGGGCTTTTAGGAAGTAATTAAAATCACAATATATTTTAAAAAAAAAACTAACTGGAAATGAACCAAAGACCTAAATGTAAGAACAAAAACTATAAAAATTCTTAGAGGAAAATACGAGGCATAAATCTTCATGACCTCGGATTAGGCAATCTTTTATGACACCAAAAACACAAGCAACAATAGGAGGGAAAAAAAGCTACATTTAACTACAGCAAAACTTAAAAGATTTGTGTGTGAAAGCATAAACTTCAAAGTCCTTCCCTTATTCTATAATGTCTTATAGAATAAAATCCTCTGAATTCTTCACCTCTGACTTAACACCTGCCCTCCACCTGACCAGCACCGAAGCCCCAGCCCCGTTGGCTGCTGGCTTTTGGTTAGCATGCTAACCACCCCTCTGCCTTGGGGTCTCTGTCTTTGTTCTCTCTTCCTGCTACCTAGAAATTCCTCCCCCAGAAATAAAGCAAGCCTGGACCCCACACTTCATTCAAATCTCAACTCAAATGTCACTTCCTTCACCTCACCTGGCCACCCTATCTAAAACTGCACTCTCTTCTCTCTTTTATTTTCCTCATAACATTTATCCCAATCTGACATATCCTGTACTAAAACGCATATGACTGTTTATTTTCTGTCTTACCACACTACAGAGTAAGCTTCATGAAAAAAGGGACCTGGACTGGCTCATAGTCATATCCTGAGAACCTTAAACAGTGTCTACCAACGAGAAGGCTCACAACATGATCTGTTCAGTGGATGAAAAAATGAATTTATTAAATAAACGAGGGCTTCTGAGGTATAAGCACATTGTCAGGACGCTCTCACCTGTTCCAGGTTGTTATAGCGCACGCAGCAGTAGCTGCAGTATCCTTGTCTGTTCTGCATGGTGAATAACCCAAGTCAGGTGGCTACTGGCCTGGAATACTCAAACTGAAAAAAAAGAGAAATGGTAAAAACACAATCATTCCTTACTACCATGAGGAAAACAGCTTTGATAAGATCAGAGAACAGAAATGCATTCCTCAGTCCGACCCCCTCTTCTTTCTAATAATTATGAAATTAGATAAGGCTGCCATGAGCTGCTGAATCCATCGGTGACCCTGGAGTAGATAGGAGAACTGTGCATCTTCTCTCTCTTTTTTTTTTTTAAGATTTGTTTAGGGGCGCCTGGGTGGCTCAGTTGGTTAAGCGACTGCCTTCGGCTCAGGTCATGATCCTGGAGTCCCTGGATCGAGTCCCGCATCGGGCTCCCTGCTCAGCGGGGGGTCTGCTGCTCCCTCTGACCCTTCCCCTCTCATGCTCTCTGTCTCTCATTCTCTCTCTCACAAAAAAAAAAAAAAAAAAAAAAAGATTTGTTTATTTATTTGACAGAGAGAGAGCAAGCACAAGCAGGGGGAGCGGCAGAGGGAGAAACAGACTCCAGTGTTACACCTAACGTCTAATTCTGTCATGAGAATAAAGATACCACATGCACTTTCTGCTTAATCCAAAAAGAGGCAGATTTTAAAATAAATTATCTGACAGAGTTGCTAAAAATCAAAGTAACAACTAATTCGTGTCTGAAACACAAGACACTTCTCTTCTGACAACCACATAAACCAAATTAAATATGAGGAATTTTTTCCAATCGGTGAAATGAGATTTCTCTACAAATAAAAAAGTTTCCAAGTTCCTACCCCCTTAAAACTATAATCCTTCAACATTACATACTGCAGTGGTTCACAAGCCAGGCTGAATATCAAAATCATTCCCCAAAATTCTGATTTAGCAGGGCTAAGAGCCTAGAATTCAGAATTTTTTTAATTCCCCAAGTAACTTTGATACACAGCCAATTTATTCACTGACACAAAGTGTTTACAATTAACGATTATTTTAAGTAATAAATCAATACAATTTCAGTTTTTTGGCTGTGTTTTGTTAAAGTACAAACAGAATTGTAAGAAATAATTTCATCAAGTTTTAATTCTAGTTATTTTAAACATTCGTGTCTGTTGGAGAATATGTAACAGAATGATCCTATAATGTGTTGAGTATTTCTGATAAGATGATCCCGCAACACAAAAAGTTTACTCATTAAAATCAACCTTTAAAATGAAATCACAGCCTTGAAATCAGTGAAAACAGTAAATCAAATGCTACCATAACATTCACTTACCTGTTACGTCTTATTATGAGAAACTCTGACTTTCTGACTTCCACACTTACGGGGAAAATAAATCAATTAAACCAGCCTCTGAAAGAGAGAATATATATTTAAAAAAAAAAATGACTTCCTTAAATTCTGGTCTTTTTTCCATTATTTTACTTCATTTATTAACCTGAAGCAACAAAATGAAACAAGCTTTAGTTGTCTTATAGATATGGCAATTTTCGAGCTGAGAGAACCCTAGCACTTAAACCTGAACTTTGAAAATCATAAAATAACAAACTTTTTAGTGCTTTAATTCAAAATATATTTAAGACAATCATTGAATCAAAGGCAAAATTGAAGTATGAGTCTAATATCACACACACACAAAATTGAACTCCTTTAAATTATTTTTTGATCTTCAACACTTACAGCCTTCAATTCCCATTTTTATTTCCCATTCCCATTCCGCATTATCCGACATTTCTATGACATTTCTATCATCTTGTGTCACATACGTGCCATTATGACAATGAGCTACAATGATTCAGGAGCACCCGATGGGCATTTTTAAAACTTTACATGCTAGGAACCCCACCTGAAAAACCTACTGAATCAAAATCGCCTGGCGGGGAGCCAGGCACATGCATATTTAAAATGCTCTAAGGTGATTCTGAGATAGGCTGAAGCAATTACGTAAGTCATCATTTTTTATGTACTAATAAAATTCTTACTTAATAAAGAGATCATTTCTTTGGGGTCTGGGATTATATTACTTTTCATGACCCAATGGGTCTTTTAATACCAATTCTTAATTCTACTGGTACCTGGTATTTTCATACAGTAACAAATCACCTACCTTGAGCAGGAAAGGGCAGGTATTACATCAGCTGTATTAGTCCTGGCAAACATCTGTAAATTAAAGCAATTTAAAAAAAAGATAAGCCCCCTAAGTATCTACCACTGGCCAAGTAAGTACCCCCCCCCCAGTCATAGATAAGTTTGAAAAATAACTCAATTATGTTTCAATGGGAGAAAAAAAGATTAACTCTTGAACACAAAGGACTTTACATACTATGACTCACTGAATCCCACATGATCTCCTAAGATGCTCTGGAGCAGAGTAACCCATATAACCCACCATCATATAATTCACATCTCTGGGTTCCCGGAACAAACAGCTACAAAAGAATAAACTGGGTCTCTGGTAAGGTTAAGAACAAAGATGCTATAACCCCCATGAGAAATGTTCATGGGAAATGTGTGAAAGAAATATTTACATGAAATTAACGTTGGGTCCTGGACTAACCCTCAGCTCCTATGTTAGTTTCAATGAAAAAACACTGTCAATTCTTTATCATCTCTCTGTATCAATAAAGCCAAATTATCCATTTTTTTAATTCTTCCACATTGTTGTTGGCAGTGTTGCCCCTTACCCAGAACCGCTGGTTAACAAAAAATTCCAATACTTAGATTCAGAAGAGCCAGTGACAGCATTGTATTATCAAATAAATATTTAGTGCCTACCCTGTGCAGAGTTCCATGCTAGAAGCTTTAAAGGATAGAAATAGATAAGCTTTCTTGCTCTCAAGAAGTTTAAAATGGCATTAGGAAATGAATGCAAAAACACCAGGTGGTATCTGAGAAATGTACAAATAGTAAGTGCCAAAATGTCACAGTGGATATGGTTTTTTAACCGGACATTGGAAAATGGGTAGGATTTGCTTAAACAAAGATCAGGAAAAAATATTCCAAGTAACAAAGAAGCAAAAGCACACAAGCAAGAAAGAGAAGGTACATTTAGAGACAGTAAACTGACAAGTTCAGCTGGAGCTAAGATTTCATTTAAAATTTAAGGGGCAATAAAGCAAGAAAAGCAGATTCAGTTTCAACATGATTGTATTTAAAAGAAAACTTGAGAATTTAGAATACATATTTAGGCAGTGTGGGTATTTTTTTGGAAAGCAGTATATGCAGAGAGCTTTAAGAAAATTCTGGAACAGAATTTAAGAAAATTCTGGGACAATGATTCTTCCCTCTTCAAAGGAGCTTTTCACAGGGTAAGTTAAAATATTCAGCATTATTTTCTAGAATACTGGAGAATGAGTTAATATCCAAATCATCCAAATTCAAAGGATCAGTATTAGAGCAAAGACTTAGGCTCATTTATGCTTGCAAATTAGGAAAACACACGTTAATTTTTTTCTTTAAGAAATTACTTTTATTAATTTTTATTATGAAAAATTTTTTGATGGTACAATTATAAAAATAAAGAGCATAAAAGTCAGTCATAATCCCACTACCCGCCATTAATATTCATCATATATTCTTTGTTCTAAACATGTTTTTACAAAAATGGAATGGTATTATACAGTCTATTCTATAGCCTCCTCTCTCACTTAACCGTATGCGATGAGCACCTCTATATATTATATATAATTCCAAAACAGAATCTTTAATGATTGCATAGTATTTTACCCGTGTAAGACAAAAGCCCTCTTTTCTGACAAGATAAAAGCTAGCAGTCGGTGAGTTAACGATTTAAAAATTAGTAAGATGATTTTAAAAATACATACATCATCAATATTTTGTCTAACCTAAAATATACAAATGTATATATGTTTGACTTAAGGTCAAGTTAAGCTTTTTTGTTTCACTGAGGTTTTTTGTGGATAGGACAGCTAGAGTTCCCAGTCATATTTTTTTCATATTTTCATAAACCACATCATAATTTACCATCAACGAGTTTTCACTTTGGTTCCTCTAAAATAGAACAAGAACTTAAAGACATTTCTAAAACTGAGAGCAGTATTATGATTAACATTTAAGATTTCCCCCAACCTTTTACAGTTGTCACACCCAATTAAGTACTCTTACAATGGCGTTTTTTTCTTTTTTTTTTTTGAGTGCAAAGGATTCAATTTATTTTTTATAAAAATAATAAGGCTATACTAAAAGATAATGCTTACATTCTATTTCATTGATTTATGAAACACTTAAAACTGCATAAACCGATCGGGGGCCGTGAACAAAGACCTCTGAACTCCCTGAGATGACTTCAACACAAATGTCTCAAAATTGCATACATTTTTTTCTTTTTGGACTATTTCTTGCACACCTGAGATCTGTACCCACTGCAGAGATAAACACACTATTGAAATGAGTTCAGAATTGTAGTGTGTGTTTCCCAAGCTGACTGCGGTATTTTGAAGTAAGAGCTAACAAAAATCCAGAATCCCTATGGGAAATATTTTTCAACCACCTAACAAGAGAGACACCAACTTAATATTAAACTTAAAAAGACAACAGAAAGCCTTTTGGTTTATTGAATAAGATCATCTAAATCACCTGTCTAGCTATAGGAAGACAATTGGGGAGCAATCACAAAACAACGGCCAAATGAAATAAAAAGACCCTTTTAATTCAGGGTCCCTTTCCTTACAACATTAACTCATTTTCAACTTCCCACTTGTTTGGATTATCCATCTTATGCATCTGGTGGCAAGCATTATCCTGGACCCTCTATTCAGTCTTAATAAAATAGTAATGGCTAAATTTCAGTGAATACTTAAACTGGGCTAGGTACTATGTCAACAGTTTCATACGCATTATCCCATCTGAACAGCAAACAGCCTTATGAAATTGGTGTCCCAGGAACTCCTACCTTACAAATCAGGAAACTGAGGTTTAGAGAGCAGCAGTATCTTGTTCCAGGTCACACACCAATAAACTGTGTAGCGGGGATTTGACCCTAGGTCAATCTGAGCAGTTTATGCTCTTAACCTCTTAACTTCCATAAAACGCTTCCTCTCTGTATTTTCAAGAATGCTAATTGACTGTTTTAATATTACATGAAAACAAATAATTAGGAATCTAATTTGCTGCAATAAACACTGTCACATATTCCAAAGAAAAGAGTAAAGATAACATTTAGCTTAATTGCATCATTGCTCCCATTCTGAGATGAGTGCTGACAGTACCTTGGATTAGGGACTTTCAAACTTAATTAGCATGGCACAGAGGAAGCAATACATTTTATATCACAACCCAGCATACACACGCAGTCACACATGCAACGCCACCCTCACACGCATGCACCCCACACACGCAGCAGCCCTCCCCCCACCCCCCCCACACACAGAAACGCAGTTAAAACAAAGCTTACAAAATATCCTCGCTACATGTAATGCATTCTGGTATTTTCTATGCCATCTTACTTCGTTAATTTCAAGTGCTAGCTATGACCCACAAAATTAATTTCACAATTCACTAATGGATGAAAACTGCAATCTGAAAAAAACACTGCCTCACATTATTAAGCAGAACAAACAATATTTACAGAAGATGGCTGTTACCCTGAATTCAGCTTTTTTTTAATCCAATATCTTCGCCATTGCGGTGATACTTTGTCAAATCTCTAACGAGTTCTACTAAGGTTGGCCAGTGGCCAAGGCGCAGGGAGAAGAAAATTCTTGCCTTCCAGGCTTTGGGTCCAAATCAGTGCAAGTTAAGAAGGCAGTGGAAAGATGTTTATGCACTGATACAGAAAATAGCCACAGCGCATTAAGCAAAAAAGGCAGATTACATTAGTATCCCCCTTTATGTAACACGAATATGCGTTTACGTACCCCAAATTGTTAATACTGACTCCCTTGAGGATGAAATTGCTATGGGCTTTTTCAGTGGGTTTTTTGTTTGTTTGTTTGCTTGTTTCCCTGATCGTATATCACTACTGTAAGACAAATTAAATACAATTCCATTCTGGGGATAAAAAACGTTTTAGTTCCTTGAGAGCCAGCATCTCGTTATGCATTTCTTCCCCGCCCTGCCAAAATCATCGCGACGGATAATGCTAGGAGCTGCAAAGGGCCTTCTCGGGAGCACGTAATAACGACGGCGTAATCTGCCCAGATTTACACAACTGTTGCGCGACAATAGTAAAACGACCGTTAACACAAAAATCTAACGCTTCCAAAATAAATTCCAATCGCCAGAGACTGATAAAGGCCTAGGTCTGGGGACAGCTGGACACAGCGCAGGACATGGGGGGAAGGGGATTTGTGGACAGGTGGCTCCGGATCTCGGCCCCACAGGTGCCCCCGCAAGTCCTCGCGGGTACAAAGCCGCAAATCCGACCTCCGCGGGCAGCCCCCTCCCCATCGCCCAGCCCAAGGCCTCGTCCGCGGGCCCCTCCGACCCAGGGCCCCCGACAGAAGCACAAGGCAGCCTGCGCCCCACCTCCACCCCACGCTCCAGCCACCTCGATCCGGGCCCGGAGACGCCGGCCCCGCTCCCGCAGGAGGTGCAGAAAGGGAGTGGGGAGACGAGACGCCGAGGAGGACCTGCGAGGCGGATGCAGGAGCCGGGCGAGCGGTCCGGCCGTCCCTCGGGAGGAAGAAGGCGCCCGGGGCGCGAGGCGAGCAGGCCCC